ATCACCCAAGATGAAAAAAATCATCCATGAATATTTCGAAGAAATCCTCCACCATGTATGAAAAAATGACTATCATACACCTCTGAAGGGAATTGCATAATCCAAATGACTTCCTCTTAAAGGTATAGGTACCATATAGGAACGTGAAAGTGGTTTCCTCCTCATCTTCTGGTGCTATGGCGATCTGATTATACCCATAATATTTGTCAAGGAAACAATAAAATGACTTGCATGCCAAATGATCAAGCATTTTATCGATGAATTGTTCCTTTTTTTAGCTTCCGTCAGTCCATACAAATCCTCTACCCCGTGACAGTTCTTTTGTCAAAAGCTCGTCGTTCTCATTCTTTATCAGTATTACGCCTCCTTTTTGGGCATGCATTGAACGGGATGAATCAAGAGCTATTGGATATAGAATAGATCACCCCAGCATCAAGCCATTTGATGATTTCCTTAATCACCACTTTCTTTATTATTGGGTTAAGTCTCCTTTGTTGTTCCACAGAATTTCCATGCCAATCATATAACTGGATCTCGTGCATACATATGGTAGGGTTTATTCCTTTCAAGTCTTCCATAGTCCACCCAAGAGTTTTTTTATGTTGTGACAAAACATTAAACATATTACACTCTTCCTCAGGGGTTAGACTAGCATAAATTATAACTGGAAAAGTATCATCACTACCTAGATGAGCATATTTCAAATGTGATGGCAAAGGTTTAAATTTTAGTGTAGGCGCATGTTGTAGCGAAGGTTTTGGAGGAATGAATTCATTGAAGTTAAGGGGTTTGAATCTCATACCTGGTCTAGCTTGTAGTAAGCTAGATTGTTCCACCTCCAATGAATAGTCTGCATTTAATTCATCTTCAGTAAGTCTTTTATTTGTATCAATAGGGAAAAATATGCCTTGGCAAATTTTTTGTTTGCCTTATTCTGAAAAAATTGCCTTGGCCAAAATTGCTGTGTTCCTCTGGCTGTAAAATATCGCCATGGTAAAAATTTTCACACTCATCCATTTGGAAAATATTGTCTTGGCCTTGAATATCATACTCTTCTGGATGTAAAAATTTACTCTTGCCAAAAATTTCTACCCCAACTTCCTCTATTGAATCCATGTCTTCAATGCAATGACATTCTTCAGAATCATCGATATATTTAAGGTGTTGAAGACATTGATTGTGATGCTTTGATCAGCCACCCTCATCGTGAAATCTCCCTTCTCACAATCTATTATGATGTACCCTATGTCTAAGAATGTACGCCCATGAATAACAAGCGCATTGCCATTGGCCTCAGTCTAGAATTAAGAAGTTTATTGGAAAGACAAACTTGTTCACTTTTATGATTACATCTTTAATTCTTCCCTCAAGACGAACATGTGATTGGTTAGCTAGTTGCAAAATCACGGTGGTTGGTAGCATTACCCATTCTAAGCTTAAAAAATATGGACTTGGGCATCAGATTTACGCTTGATACCAAGTCACATATGGCTCTCCCAACATAGTTGTCATCGATGTAACATGGCATAACAAAGCTACCATTATCTCTTTGTTTCGGAGGAATTTTACTCAGTGCAGAACAATATTCTTTCGTTGTGGCAGCAGTTTCTAGTTTTTCCACCTTTCTCTTCTTCGTGACAATATCCTTAAAAAATTTGGTGTAGGAAGGCATCCGCTCAATGGCCTCGAGCAGTGGAACGTTAATATATAACTTATCAAGGATATCGACAAACATTTTAAACTGAATCTCATCATTATGCTTCTTCAACCGTTGAGGGAAGGGTAGAGGGGGTCTGACTTCATCTGCTGCAGGTGGGGGTGAAACTTTTGTCGTGGTAATAAAATTTGCTCCATCAGTAGGATGACTTGTTGAACCCTCATACTTGTCATTCTTAGGCAAATCTTCTTGTTCAGCAATTTCAGCTTGACCTTCAGACTCTTCATGTGTAATGTCGTGGTGAGAAATTTCTTGTTTCTTCTCCAAAACTTATCCTCCAGCTTAATTTGGGCATCACTCAGTGTAAACTCACTCCATTGCTCCTATCCAAGAGGCTTAGTGACCTTAGTATCACTATGGAGGCTTCCTTGTGGGGGAGAATGTATTGTCATGGCAATTTGGCCCACTTGGTTATCCAACGCTCTAAAAAATGAGCTATGACTTTGCAATAAAGCTACTTGCTTTGCAACAAATTGCCTTGGTTCTTGATTGTTGAAGAGTGTTCATGCAATAAGGCCTTTGTTGAGGCCATGAATTCTTGCAGTGAAGCTTAGAGGGAGTTAGAATTTGAGGAAGATGATGAACCATTGTGTAACACCCAATTCCCGTATACGTTTCTGTATACGAGTCACAGATGTCACATAACTTTTAAAACTTTCCGCTTTTGAAAAACCAATAAACAGTTTGTTTCTAATCATAAAACATTTTAATTTAGTAATAATAAAACGTTCATTAACTTATAGTATGTAAAAAAATCTTAAAGTTCGAACATATTTAATTTTACATCATTATAAGTCAAATACTTTTCAGAGTATTATCATAAGTCTATTACATGCCAGCTAACAACATTAAAAGTAGACATAGTTGTCGTACAATTACTGATGAGGCGACCCTTGATTGGCGGTGTCAAATGCACTCCTTATTCCACTCATACTAATACATACGCATAAAATTAACGCACGCTATGTAATCACTTAGTGAGCCATAATAACAATGAGTTGAACTTTTAAAACATAAGTATATCATCACTTTCCAAATATGAATCGGATATTGCAACTCATTATAAAATCTATGGTTTTGTACACCTAGTGCTGATACGGTAATTCACAAACTCATTATGAATTACGTGGGGTTACACATATAGTGCTAATACGAAAATTCACAAACTCATTATGAATTTCGTGGGGTTGCACACATAGTGCCAATACGGAAATTCATAAACTCATTATCAATTTCGTGGGGTTGCACGCATAGTGTCAATACGGAAATTCACAAACTCATTATGAATTTGTGGGGTTGCACACATAGTGTCAATATGGAAATTCATAAACTCATTATGAATTTCATGGAGTTGCACACAAATTGGCAATACGGAAATCCATAAACTCATTATGAATTTCGTGGGGTTGCAAACATAGTGCCAATATGGAAATTCATAAACTCATTATGAAATTCGTGGGGATGCACACATATACATTAAAAAAATGCATCTATGATTATCATAACATATAAGTACATAATAATTGCACTCACCTAGTAAGCATCACTATTATGCCTTACTGATGTCGACTATTCAGCAACTTTATCCTTGCCTTTCTGTTTGCTTGACTCAAGAGCTTGATTACGATCTACACAAGCATCAATAATCACACATACAATACAATGTTAGTATACTTTCTAACATTTATAAAAAATAATAATATTCAAAAGTACTATTATTCTCGAATTCTATTAAAGATCACCCTAACTTAAAATTCCAGGCTGATTAGTAACGGTACCCCTTCTATGATATCGATACTTCTATACTATGGTACCGATACTCCCTTCAGTACCGATATCATTTTTGCATTCTGGAATGCAATTCTTAATAATAGTATCGATACCTTCATCTTGGTATTGAGACTCCACTTCAGCCGATACTACTTGCATAAGTATCGATATTGTTCATCGTGTTCATCCTCTTTCATCAAATTTAACCCTATAATATCGATACTGTTCTTCCAGTACCGATACCTTTACCCAAATTTTACATATTTGACTTTGATTTTTACCATATTTTCATCTAAATCTATTACTTTTATCCCTAACCATACCATTAAACTCATCATTACTGAATCCAACTAACTTACATCCATGAATCTTCTTATAATATCTAAAATTTCCAAAGAACACTCAAAACTAATAATCACACCAATTTTTCCAACTTGTTTTTAATAACTTATAAGGCTCCAAATCTCTTAATCACTTCTTTGACAAGTAAAAATTGCCTTTAAACTTCCATAATTGACCATATTTCATCAAATCATTTAAAAACCCATTTTATTAAATCTAAAATAAAACCTTCATCTTTTATTTTTAATCCTCCTTGAACTTTCCTTAAGCATCTATATCACTTAAGGTTTCAAACCAACCCAAAAATGAAAGAAAAACCAACATTGAAGAATCCTTACCTTAGCTATAGAGGGCATGGGATGACGGGAATAAGAAGGAGAGTAGAAAACTAGTTTTCCCAGACTTATCCCCTTTTTCCCTCCTTTAGTCCTTAATAAAATGAATATTAAATTGAATTCCTTCTAAAAGACCAGAATGCCATTCCATTTCTTCCATTCTTACTAATAGGTCTTAAACACAAATTCTTAAATAAATCTTCATACTTTTCAATTTATTCAAATTAACTCACTAGATTTTTAATCCTTTCACTATGGTCACCGACCTTATCTTTGGGGTATTACAATTTTTCCCTTAAGAAAATTCGTACTCAAATTTTAAAATGTACCTGATGCGAAGAGGTATAGAAACTACTTCCTCATGCCTTCCACTCTTTCCCAAGTAGCTTCCTCGACTTTTTGATTTACCAAAGCACTTTAACTAGGGGAATCTTCTTGTTGCGCAGTTATTTGCTTTCTCCTGCCAAAATTTCCACTTGTTCTTCCTCGTAAGTCAAATATGTTCAGATCTCTATTTCCTCTGGTGTGATGATATGCGATGGATCTGATCAGTACTTCTTGAGCATCGACAGGTGAAAAACATTATGGGTCTTGTCTATATCGGGAGGCAAAGCTAATTGATAAGCTACTGGTCCGACCCTTTTTAGAATCTCATAAGGTCCAATAAATCTTGGACTCAGCTTTCCTTTGCGCCTAAACCACAATACATTCTTCAAAGGTAATACATTAAAAAATATCTTATCTCCCACTTGAAACTCAATTTCTTTTCTCTTTAGATCAACATAAGACTTTTGTGGATCGAAAGCTATTTTAAGATTATCTTGGATAACTTTCACTTTATCTTCTATTTCTTTAATTAAATCAGGGCTAACTAGATCTCGATCTCATAGCTCAAACTAATTTAATGGTGTTCAACACTTCCTCCCATACAAGGTTTCATATGGAGCCATCTTAATACTTAATTGGTAACTGTTATTATAAGCAAATTTCAATAAAGGCAAATATCTTTCCCATGATCCTTTGAATTCTATCAATCAAAAATTATTTACAAAATAAAATATAAATATAAATAAATAAAAGATTAAATTTAAAAAAATTATTTATGAAGAGACACAAATTCAATGCTGTGGCATCAAAATTTGGTTTTCCTTGGGGCACTCTTCAACATCGCTCAGATGCAAAACTGCCTTGTTGTGCGGTGGTGGAACTTCAGTCTAGGCTTTGAGACGCTGGCCATTAACTTTGAAGATCGTCCTGTCTGTATTTTTAATGTCAACAGCTCCATGGGATAGACATAATGCACCTCAAATGGCCCTGACCATCGAGATTTGAGCTTTCCAGGAAAAAGTTTAAGTCTGGAGTTATAGAGCAAAACTTATTGGCCCACATGAAAATATCGTGGCATCAGTTTCTGGTCATGCCACTTTTTGGTTTTCTCCTTGTATATCCGAGCATTATCATATGCTTGTGCTCTAAATCCTTCTATTTCATTAAGTTCCAATAGTCTCTGCTCCCCAGCTAGTCGAGTATTAAAATTTAATCGCTTGATGGCCCAATAAGCTTTATGTTCAAGTTCAACTGGGAGGTGACAAGCTTTCCCATATACTAGCTTGAATGTGTACATCCCCAAAGGAGTCTTGAACGTTGTTCTATATGCCCAAAGTGCTTCATCCAACTTTGGCGACCAATCCTTACACCTTGGGTTCACCACTTTCTCTAAAATTTGCTTGATCTCTCGATTGGATATTTCTGCTAGGCTATTTGTCTGCGGATGATATGCCATGGCAATCATATGTCGAACTCCATATCTCTTCAATGCCTTGGCAATTAAATTGTTATCAAAGTGGGTTCCCTCATTACTTATTATATCACGAGGTACTTCAAACCGAGTGAAAATATACTTGTGCAAAAACTTGAGTACAGTTTTAGAATCATTCATTGATGTTGCTATTACTTCCACCCATTTTGATACATAATCCACAACAAGCAAGATGTATAGATTTGCAACAGAAGGTGGGAATGGTCCCATGAAATCGATGCCCCAAACATCAAACAACTCTATCTCCAGAATATTTTTTGCAGTGGCATCTCATGACGCCTGGATATGTTTCCAGACTGTTGGCATAGATCACAAGATTTGTAAAATGCTTGAGCATCTATAAACAGAGTTGGCCAGTAAAAGCCTGATTGTAGGACCTTAGCAGTAGTCCTTACTCCACCAAAATGACCTCCACATGGGGCTGAATGACAATGGTACAAAATGTTGCACTGTTCCTCTTCGGGTACACATCATCTAATGAGCTGATCGACACAATGCTTGAATAAATATGGGTCATCCAAAAAATAGTGACTTGCATCATGCTTGAACTTCTTTTTAGCCTGACTGTCTAAATCAAAAGGCAAAATTCCACTAACAAGAAAATTAACAAGGTCAGCGTACCACGGGATTGCTGCGACATTAAAAATTTTCTCATCAGGAAATTCCTCTTTAATATTTACAGTGTCATGGCATTCAAAATTGTTCTCTAGCCTAGATAAGTGATCATCAACTTGATTTTCAGTCCCTTTTCTATCTACCACCTCTAAGTCGAATTCTTACAAAAGTAAGATCCACCTAATAAGTCTAGGCTTGGCATCCTTTTTGTTCACTAAGTATTTTATAGCCGAATCATCAGTGTGAACAATAACTTTAGTACCTATTAGGTAATGTCTAAATTGATCAAAAGTAAATACCACGACAAGTAATTCTTTCTCAGTGGTGGTGTAGTTCAATTGTGCTTCATTCAAAGTGCGGCTAGAGTAATAAATAACATGAAAAATTTTACCTCGGCGTTGCCCCAAAACAGCTCCTACGGCATAATCAATTGCATCACACATCAACTTAAATGGTGATGTCCAATCAGGAGGAACTACAATGGGTGCCAAGATCAGTCTTTACTTCAGCTCAGTGAATGCACCGAGGCATAACTCGTCAAACACAAAGGGTTGGTTTTGTTGAAGCAATGTGCACAAGGGCTTAGAAATCTTGGAGAAGTCTTTGTTAAACCTTCTATAGAATCCAACATGTCCAAGAAAACTTCTTATACCCTTGAATGAAGCTGGTGGTAGCAACTTTTCAATCACTTCAATCTTCGCCTTGTCCACCTCAATACACTTGTGAGAAATTTTGTGGCCTAATACAATGTCTTCAGTCACCATGAAGTGACATTTTTCCCAATTTAAGACCAACTCAGCCTCCTCGCATCTTTTGAGAACTTTTGCTAATTTGTCGAGGCATCGTTCAAAATTGTTCCCACAAACAGAAAAGTCATCCATGAAAATCTCCAGAAAATCCTGAACCATGTCTGAAAATATGGCTTGCATACAGCGCTGAAATGTTGCCGGGGCATTACATAGTCCAAAAGGTATCCTCTTAAAGGCAAAAGTGCCATAGGGACAAGTAAATGTAGTATTTTCTTGGTCCTCTGGTGCGATGGAAATTTGATTATACCTCGAATACCTATACAAAAAGTAATAGAATGCTTTGTCGGCCAATCGATCGAACATTTGGTTGATCAAAGGTAGAGGAAAATGATCATTCTTTATAGCTTTGTTGAGTTTTCGGTAGTCCATGCATATCCTCTATCCGGTAATAGTGCGAGTGGGTAATAGCTTATTATCCTCATTAGTAACAACCATCGTGCCTCCTTTCTTCGGAATACATTGGACAAGGCTTACCCATGAGCTATTTGAGATAGGGTAAATCACTCCAGCATCAAGCCATTTCAGAATTTTCTTCATCACCACTTTCTTTATAACATGGTTAAGTCTTCATTGTGGTTCGATTGAATTATCGTGGCAATCTTCAAGCATAATCTTGTGCATGCAGATCGTAGGACTAATTCCTTTCAAGTCGCCCATTGTCCAACCAATTGCTTTCTTATGCTGCATAAAAACACTTAACAAGCTTTGCTCTTGATTAGCAGTAAGGTTAGCGAAAATAATCACCGATAAAGTCTCATCGCTACCTAAGTAAATATATTTAAGATACCCTGGTAAAGTCTTAAGCTCTAGATAAGGTGCATGCAATAATGAAGTCTTAGGAGGAATAAATTTATCAAAATTCAGAGGTTCAAAATTCATTCCTAATCTAGCTTGTAGTAAGCTAGATTGCTCCTACAAAATTGGAAAGTTGTCGGACTCCACTAAGCTTTCATCATCCACCCAATATTCTTTTTCTGATAGCTGAATGAAATTGTTCTGACAAAGATGTTCAACCTCTTCTTGAATTATTGAGTTCAATTCAGAAATGCCTTGGCATTCTTCAGTGTCATCGACATATTTGAGCATTTGAAACACATTGGCAGTCACACACTGATCAACCACTCTCATGGTGAGTTCATATTTTTCGCAGTCTATCAATATACGTCCAGTGGCTAGGAAAGGTCTTCCCAGAATAATGGGTGCCTTGGCATATACTTCGTAGTCCAGAATTAAGAAGTCGACTGGAAACACAAACTCATTCACCCTTACTATGACATCCTCGACTCTCCCTTCAGGTTTAACATGGGATCTGTCGGCAAGTTGTAAAATAACCGAGGTGGGTCGTACATCTCCTGTGCCAAGCTTCAAGAAAATTTATTTCGGAATTAAGTTGACACTTGAATCAAGATCACATAGTGCCTTTCCAACGAAATTAGCTCCTATAGAATAAGGAATTATGAAGCTTCCCAGATCATTTTGCTTTTGGTGGAAACTTAATCAAAGAAGAACAAAATTTTGTTGCCGTGGCAGTAGTTTCTACTTTCCTCTTCTTGGTACAGATTTCCTTCAGAAATTTGGCATAAATCGGCATCTGTTCAATAGATTTCAAGAGAGGTACATTGATATGGTGCTGATCAAGAATGTCCACGAACTTCTTGAACTGAACTTCGTCATTATGTTTCTTCAATCTTTGCGGGAAGGGTGGTGGAGGTTTATCTTCCTTAACTGCAGGAATAGAATTTGCTTTTGCCTTGACATCAGAATCTAGTGCCTTAGAAGAATCCTCCTACTTGTCCTTCTCAGAAATGAGATCATCATGTAATTCAGCTTCACCTTTGTCAGTAATGGGAGTAGAGTCATCATGTTGTGCCTCACTAGCTTTGACTTGTTGATTGATTTGTGTTCCACTCCTAAGAGTTAGTACATTGCAATGGTCTTTTCCATGCCCTTTAGTGACTTCAATATCACTTAGCAAATGTCCTTGCTGATGCTCTTGCAATGCCGTATCAATCTGACCAACTTGACCTTCCAAAGCTCTCAAAGATGAGCTATGGCTTTAAAGTAAGGCACCTTGACTATGAAGTAAAGCTCCTTGATTCTTAATTGAAGTAGAATGGTCTTGCAGCATTGTCTTCATAGTAGATATAAACTCTTGAATTGTATCTTCCAAGGAACTCATGCTTGCTGAAGTTGAAACTCCTTTATTGGTATTATGCCATGGCATAGCATTTTGGTAACTTTAAGGCTCATTGTGATTCTGCTACCGAGTATGTTGACTAGCATTGTGGGCTCCTTGATTTCCCCATGAGAAATTGGGATGCTGACGCCATCCAACATTATAAGTGTTAGAGTAAGGATTGTTGTTGCCTCGATTTTAATTGCCTACAAAGTTGATGGACTCATGGTTGGTCTGGCATTCACTCTCATGATGATTGCCTTGGCATAACAGACATGCCAAGCTAGTTGCTTTCACTTACTTTACCTCAGTAGAACGTTTTAAGTTTTTCAGCATATTGGTGATAGTTGAGAGTTAGCAGACACCGAATCTTTGGTATCTAATTCAAATGCTCCAGGTGCTCTCCTCCCACTCCTAAGTCTTGAGG